TCTGGAGGCAGAAGTGATAAAAGTAATAGCTAACATTGTATGCTTCCCACATGCTAGAATTTAAGTGCTTTTGATGTGATTTTCCATTTAAATTTCACTGAACCCTCATAACATCCTATGAGACAGGTACTATACAAACCTCATTGTATAGATAAGGAAGCTGAAGCTTAGAGAATCAACTGCCTTTCCCAAAATCTTAAGCCAGGACTGGGATCTAGGTAATTAGAGTCCAGAGTCTTAACTCTACTTCATTAGACTGTCTTTTTCTATTAATAGGAAATAGTATATTTGCTCTCAAGATATTTACAATTTTGATAGTAAAGGTTAAAATTGCAGCTTTCTAGAGGTTCTTAGGTAAATTTACTTTTCCAGAACATACTCTGGAAAGTCTGATTATTATTTGTCCATTCAAATGTTCATTGAGACCTATGTATTAGGCATCGCAGTAGGTCTAATAGTGCTTTAGGGAAATTCATTTGGCATCCATAGGCTGATCAGAATGAGGCTGGAAGACTAGCTAAAATTGCAGTTATCCAGCAGTCCTGAAATCATAACAGAGAAAATGTAGAAAAAATGTAGAGAACACTCACTCATTCAGCAAAGATTTCCTGTACTACTTGTACTGTGTACAAGGCTCTGTGCTAATGGTGGGGATACAGTAATGAATAAGCCTTCATTGAACTTTTATTTTAGTGGGGAGTAGAGGTGTGCCAAGCTTCGTCTTACACATACAAAAATCATTTTATTATCAAGGGCCATGAAAAGTATGGAGTGGGAAGGCAATATATTACATAAAACTAATATAGTCTAAGGCAGCCGTGGGCAAACTACGGCCTGTGGGCCGGCCCGTTTGAAATGAATAAAATTAAAAAAAAAAAAAAGACCGTACCCTTTTATGTAATGACGTTTACTTTGAATTTATATTAGTTCACACAAACACTCCATCCATGCTTTTGTCCCAGCCCTCTGGTCCAGTTTAAGAACCCATTGTGGCCCTCGAGTCAAAAAGTTTGCCCACCCCTGGTCTAAGGGGTCAAAGGAGGCTTCCTTGAGAAAAATGACATTTTAACTGGACTCTAAAGGATGAGTGAGGCTAGCTGGGTACGGAGGAGAGGTATATGTGGGAGACAAGAGGAAAGCATGCATGAATGTCCTGAGCCAGAATGGACACAACTCACCTGGCTGGGAGGGGAAAGAGGTTTCAGATCAGGTTGATGAGATGCCTGGGGCTGGAATATGCACGGCTTTCTAATTTTCATTAAAAAACAAACAAACACTACTCTGGCTACATGAAGGAGGATGGATTGAAGTGGAACAAAAGTAGATGGAGAGGAGTCAGTTAGAGGCAATTTTAGAAGCCTAAGCAGGAGTTGTATTGGCTTGGACTGGGTGATAGCAGTGGAAATTGGGGAGATCTTCCTAATGGCTTGGATATGTGTGCAAGAAGCAAAGAAAAAATGTCGAGGTGTGTACTTAAGTATTTGGCTTTGATCAAATGTGAGGATGGTTCTGTCTACCAAGATATGGATGAGTGGCTGGAAGAGGATCAAGTTTAGTGGGAAAGCCGGTAAGTTCAGTTTGGGAAACAATGATTTTCAAGTGGCTGTGAGTCATCCAAGTAGATTTAAGAAAGCAGTTGGCTGCCTTGGTCTGAAGATCAAGTTTGGATATTGTGTGAATTGGAGTGCTAATAAACTTGGGAGTTATTAATGAACAGATAACAGTTCAAACCAAGGAAGATCACCTAGGTAGAGAATACAGCAGGAGAACATAAGACTAGGATTGCACCTTGAGGGACTCAAACTCTTAAAAGACCTGGTAACGAGGATGACTCTATACAGGAGACTGTGAAAGAGCAGCTAGAGAGGAAAGGGAAGCCAGGAGAAACTGGTGTTAGTAGACCAAGGAGTGGTCGACAGGATCAAAAGATACTGAAATTCAAATAAGATGGGAATGGAAAAATCCTTTGGGTTTAGTGATATAGAGGCCATCTGTGATCTTAGAACTGTTTTGTGCAGTGGAACAGGTGGCTACCAAGATCAGAACCTCCTACTTGGACTCAATTAATAATCATTTCTAGCCACCTAACTTCTACTTTACAGAGCAGCATCAGCTGTCCATTGCCTTATCCTAGCTCAATATGTGGACTCATCATCTCTCGCACATATGAGTGATTCCACTGGCCATTCCACTCCATGAGTTTACCTGAGTAACAGTGTAAGCAGTTAAGATGGGAGACTATGAATCTGGTCTTCCCTCATTCAGTTTCAGGGTATGTCTCTTTTAGCAGCCGCCCTATGCTACACTGAGTGTGATTCTGGTGTTTTAAAAGATGCCCTATGTAGCCCTAGCCAGTGTGGCACAGTGGATAGAGCACTGGGTTCTGGGTTTGATTCCAGTCAAAGGCACATGCCTGGGTTGCGGGCTTGAGCTTCATCCCCAAGTTGGGGGGCGTGCAGGAGACAGCCAATCAATGATTCTCTGTCATCACTGATGTTTCTACCTCTCTCCCCCTTCCTCTCTGAAATCAATAAAAATGTATTTTTCATACAACATGGCCCCTAAACATTTAAGCCAACTTCTTTATTTGATTTCCAAACAGAACCAGTCATCTGTTTCATTGCTGAGAAAAAAGTAGGCCACAATGAACTTATTGAGAAACAGTATATTGATTTCCGACATAGAGACTTTCTAGGGTAATTTGGACTATTTGCAATTTTCACGTTAGGAACTGACTTTAGAACTAGTTTATGACGACACACCGAAGAGAGAAGAAAATGCCTATGGGCTTCCCGGGGTGAGTGAGTACCAGCCAAGAGAGACGCTGCTACCCTAGCTATCAGGTATTTGTTCCTGCCTAATTCTCTATCCTCCTAGGTTTGGGAGGCAGCCTAAAGCCGCTGTACCTAACCGACCCTGTCTTGTTTGCTCTCGACTTCACCTTTTGCCTGCTTCACTTGCAATACTTCAGTTCCTCCATCCTGCTGCTTCCGAAATTCTCATTTGCTGGAAAAAGGCAAATACTCCAATTAACTATACTTATTAAGCTGTATTTAGTATTCAAGTGTATTGTATTCATTGCAACGTTTTGACTATGCAATTAAATTCCAGGCTCAGGGAGAACTACATCTTATCTCTATTTTGAATTATCTAGGTTATACTAAGTACACAAAAGTTGTCCAGTGTAGTAGGTATGGTGCAATAAACCACATCTCTTCTGCCTTTCTGCATAAAACAGAATGGAGCTGAAGAGAAAAAAATTTCTTAGAAATAGCCCTAACCGGTTTGGCTCAGTGGATAGAGCGTCAGCCCGCCGACTCAACGGTCCCAGGTTCATTCTGGTCAAGGGCATGTACCTTGGTTGCAGGCGCATCCCCAGTGGGGAGTGTGCAGGAGGCAGCTGATCGATGTTTCTAACTCTCTACCCCTCTCCCCTCCACTCTGTAAAAAATCAATTAAATATATTTAAAAAATTTTCTTAGAAATAGATAGGTTATTCCATCCACAACTTAACCTAAATAAGCTCCCACAATAATAGCAAACAAAAACAAAAGTGGTCAGCAATTCCCTCCCGAGGGCTGGAGGAGGAGGGGGCGCGCTTTTTTGGATTCCGGACTCCAGCAACTGGCAAGCAGGACAGCCCTGCCCCCTGCCGCTGAGTTAAGAAAAAGGTCTCAGCACAATCACCCGCTTTTGTGGCGGGGACGGCACACTCTGGGCAAAACATCTTGAGTGCGAGTCAGAAGGTGAACCAAGTCAGCATTTTCCCGGATTCTTAAAAACTCGGGCGACAGTAACTTCTCAGCCACTTAAACACACACACTCTGGCATTCAACATCGCGTCAAGTAAACTGGGTTTCAAAGACGGGAAGTTTTAAAAACCATTATTTCCCTCCCAGCCACTTTCCAATTAGAGAGGTTACCACCCCGGGTGGTCGTGATTTAGGGGAAGTCCAGGATCAGGGCAGCTGAGGACGGTTCTGGTGGGCCCGCCGGCCCGGGGCAGGACGCCGCCATCCTGCCCACAAGTTCCGCGGGCCAGTGGTGAAGCGGCGGGCGTGAGGGGGGCAGGAGGGAGGCGAGGGGCGTTTACCTGGGGCCGGTCCCTACCAGGTAGGTGTTGGTGCCCTGCAGGGTCATGGGGCCCGGGTTACAGCCCAGGACGCGCACCACCCGACTGGACAGCCGCTCCATGCGCTGCAGAGTGGCTGCCATCTCCGCTTCAGCCACTCGTGGGCACGCAGCTTACGGTGCGACCGGAGCACGGAACCCGCAAACAAGCCGCAGCCAGCGGTCACCTGACCGGGGCGGAGCGGGACCCGCCTCGACGCTGGAGGCGGGGCCAGAGGTCACGTGTCGCCGCGTGAGCCAAGCGGAGAGGGATCAGCCTCCGAGCTGGGGGCGGAGCTAGAGGCCACGTGTCCGGCGCCCGAGCCGAGCGGGGAGGGGTCAGCCTACGAGCTGGGGGCGGGGCTAGAGGCCACGTGTCCGGCGCCCGAGCCGAGCGGGGAGGGGTCAGCCTACGAGCTGGGGGCGGGGCTAGAGGCCACGTGTCCGGCGCGCGAGCGGAGCGGGGAGGGGTCAGCCTCCGAGCTGGGGGCGGGGCTAGAGGCCACGTGACGCTGCCTGGGCCTCGGGTATGCCGGCGCGAGGGAGGCGTGAGGCGCCTGAGGCGAGGCTGGTTTTGAGAGCTGCCTCTTGTCCCCGAACCGGGCGCCTTCCCGGAGTTTATGTTCTGGTGGGCGAGTTCATCCCAGGGGACAAGAGGCGTTGTAACCTGGGAAATCTTGGGCTGGAGCAGAGGGCAGCAGGCAGGTTAGGGGTGGTGACTGTGTTCTGAATCCCGGAGCAGGGCTCGTCAGGCTTGTGGGCCCCGGAGTGTGTGTGAGTGTGAGTGTGTGTGAGTGTGTGTGTGGGTATGTGGGTGTGAGGAGCAACCTGTTTCTCACAATGATCAGTTGTAAGTGACGTGTACCAAGCGCTTCCATCTGCTAAGCGCTCTTTACAAACACGATCTCATTGAACCCTCGCAGCAACGTTCCTCCCTGTGCCCGGAAGAGGAGGTGGGCCTTGACCGGGAGCGGGGTCCAGCAGGTGAGCCGCCCCCGTGTTCACTGCCGCCCCCTTTCTAAAAGATTGAGTCACAGTTTACTGGACAGAACGGCAAGATCCTATGGTCGGTTTCATCGAGTTTGGACAATTGCACGAAGTCAGCCTCTCTCTCTCTCTCTCTCTCTCTCTCTCTCTCTCTCTCTCTCTCTCTGCGGAACACACCCACCAGCCCAGCCCAGCTCTTCTCCCCCAAAAAAACGGGCACATGAGATGCTGGCAGTTCTAAGATTTAGTACCAGCATTTTAACGTTGCTTGTGCAGGTACTTCTGAAGAAAAAGACAATTTCCTATTAATTTCCAAAGTGTTTCTTTTACAAACCAGCAGTGGAATAGTCCAGATTTCTTGACAGGCACACCTTTACTGTGTGTGGCACATTTCTTTGCCTTGTGTTGCGAAGATGCCCTTTTATTTGCAGCGCTTCAAAAACCTTCTCGGAAATAATCATGTAAACCAGTGGTTCTCAACCTCCTGGCCCTTTAAATACAGTTCCTCATGTGGTGACCCAACCATAAAATTGTTTTCGTGGCTACCTCATAACTGTGATGTTGCTACTGTTATGAATCGTCATGTAAATATCTGATGTGCAGGATGGTCTTAGGCGACCCCTGTGAAAGGGTCGCTCCACCCCAAAGGGGTCTCGACCCACAGGTTGAGAACCGCTGATATAAACGCTCCCCTTTGCAAAGGGAAGGCAGGCAATACGCCTTTTATTTTTAGTATTGATTTATAACCCCCACCTGAGGATGTTTTCCATTGCTTTTAGATAGAGGTGAAAGGGGGGGAGGGGAGAAACATGGATGTGAGAGAGACACATCCATTGGCTGTCCCCGCAGGGCGGACGGGGCGGGGGTTGAGCATGCAGCCGGCACCTGTGCAACCGGGGCGATGCCCTTGACTGGGAATCGGGCTCACAGGGCCAGCGCTCTAACCACTGAGCAACTGGCCAGAGCCAAGCAATGTGCCTTTTAAAGAAATGCTTGGGCTAACCATCAAAATTCCCTAGGTCAGGAATATCAACGCATCGATATTTATGTTTCTGTGGCCATGGATTAATGGCTATTCAGAACTCTGCTGGAAAGTCAGCAGAACCTTTGAGAAGAGGGTGGAACGGTCATTTCTGCACCACAGGGCTCTTCCTGAGACTCAGGGGCAGCTCCCTTAGCTTTTATCCCTTAGCTTTTTTAAAAAACATTAGAATTTTCTTTGTACCTACCATCTTGATTTCATTTGTTCACTACCAAGCTCTTCATTTGACAGATGAAGAAATGGACCCAACAAATAATTTAAAAGTGAAGTGACTTGCCCTGGCCGGGTGGTTCACTTCATTGGAAAGTTGTCCTCTACAGGAAAAGGTTGCGGGTTCAATTCCCGGTCAGGGCACATACCTAGGTTTCAGGTTGGATCCCATATCAGGCGTGTAGGGCAGACAACTGACCAATGTTTCTCTCTCTCTCTCTCTCTGTCTCTGCGCCCCCCCCCCCCCCCCCCAAATCAGTGACAGCATATCCTCCGGTGAGGATTCAAAAAAAAGTTAAATGACAAGTAGAGCCATACAAGGAGACACTAGCAGAAGAGCAGGAACAGAGGGCAGATAGTAAACTTGGTTTGGAGAAGTTGAAGTTGAGGTGATTATGGGATATCTTGATGATACCTATAGATAGTTTGGACAGGTGAGTTGAGTTCAGAAGAGGGATCTGAGCTACAGATACAAAATTGAGTCTTTGTTGGTATGTTTAGCAATGTGACCTGAAGGTTCACCTCCTCTCCAAGAAATAAGACCGAAGGTTTTTCCATTCTATCTAGTCACATTTGTGGTCATTTATCATCTGCCCACAACATGCAAAGTATGTCTTGTAGACATGTTGTGGAGGGTATTAAAAATGAAAGCTAGGAGGCCCTTTCCAGACACTCACAACCAGAAAGCAGTTACACATGGTCCTATTTGAACATATACTTGGGTAAATCCTCGAGGAGAAGCTAAAGTGATGGGATTGCAAGGAGGAAGGGGAGCATCAGATTGACTGGGAAGATCTAGGAAAGCTTAAAGGTTATGGGTTTTGAGCTGATGCAAAAAGGATTGATAGAATTTCATCAGGTAGGTGGAGGTAGATGGGCATTATAGATAGGCTTGGAAATAGAAGACATTTAATGGATGTTTTTGGGAACAGAAACCAATAATCATATGATAGGGTTTGAGAAGGTATACGGTTTAAAAAAGTAGATAGGGCTAACTTAATGGTGTGTTGTAAATTCTCAGTATTTCAAATTCAAGAATTTCTCTTTTTCAAACATATCTGTTCACTTGGATATGCTGTGAGGCAAATTGTATTTTCTCAAAACTTAATTGATAAATACAATGAAAGCTTGTAACCTAGGCAACCTATAAAAGGAGGCATGTTATTCCTATTCCCAAAGTGATGGTTATAAAAGGTTATATCGTAGTCACATGAATCACTCTGTTATCACTAGATTAGAAAAATCCCACATATGACTAACAGGTGATTTCAGTTTCATTTTAGCCTTCGATCTTAAAGGTTTACAAACTCTTTAATGATACTTGTTTTCAGTGAAGAAGAAATAAAAGAAATGAAGATTTTCTGGAAGAGACTGAGTTAAAGAAGGCTTTTTATATTTGACAAGTAAGTCTAGTCTGTATTTTACGTGTGTTAAATTTGGTCGACAAGTGAAAGGTCGCTAGTTTTTACTTTTTAAATATCTGCTTTATTGCCAAGAGATCATGTACAGTGGACAAAGGTTATATATTTGGGTTGACAGCCAGGAAGCCACACAGCTGGGCTGACTTCTGAATAAAATTGGATTGGAACTGTCGTATTAAGTTAGTGTCACGAGTTTCCTAGGAAGTCAAATTTTATAGGTGGCATTTTTTCTCATAAGGTGGTTTTGGAATAGTGATCGACTGTAGGGATAGAGATGAACTGTCCTTCATGCAAGTTGTACAACTATGTGGTTACTGAAAGAGCTGGGGATTTCTTTATGAGAGCTGCTGTATTTACTACCTTGCTGTGTAGGTTTCTCTCCAGTTGGCGGTATGTCCCTGCCTCACTAAATTAGGAATATAGAAGATGTCATATTGGATTAGTTTATTTAATCTGATATTCTACCAATAATACAATTAATACGTTTCTTAGAAATTATTTTTCCCATCTTATTAAACTTGATTCAAAACTGCTAGTGTTTTCCATATCCGTTCCAGGTAAAGGAAGCTATCTGTGTGGGGTGAGTGATTAAGAAATGCACGTATGGAGTGCTTAGGTATTATAGTTTGTAATTTTAAAGGAATCATCTACTATTAAAAAAACGGTTTGCTCTTTAGAGATAACTCACCTAAACACCCAATATCTCTCTAAACTCAGTTTTCTGACCTGTAAAATGAGTCCAATGATATCCTTCTCATAAGGATTTGTAAGGATTAAATGAAATAATATATGTAAAACATTTCACATGAAGTAAACACTCAGAAATGGTAGCTACTTTTCTTACTATCTACTCTTCCACCCTATGTGCAATATTTATTTTAATAGAGGAGAATGTTTAACCTGGAGGATTCCATCTCTAGTGGAGAGTTTCCGGCTCTCTGGTTGGCAGTTAGATGAGAGTTAGGGTAGAGAAGCCTTTTCCAGTAGAAGCATATCTGAGAAGAAAGGTTTAGAGACAGGAAGTCCAAGATCAAGGTGAAAAACAGACCCAGTGTCTGGTAAAGGCCCACTTCCTGGTTTGCAGATGGCTATCTTCTCATATGAAGAGCAGAGAGACCTAGGTTAAGGTTTTTAAAAGGTAAATAGTCTGGGAAAAAAAAAAAGGTAAATAGTTTGAGAGGAAGTTTTCAGTTTGTTAGTATATTGTTGAAACTTTACTTTCCCAAAGCTATTATAAGAACTATATGTAGTGGTTATATATAAATATATATTTAAATAGAGCTTTGATAAACTCATGACCTAGGGTTTTTAATATTATACTCAAGAGTTTAAGAATCTTATATATATATATATAAATATGTTCTATTTTAGGTATTGTCATCAGTAATGAAGATCATTGTGAAACAGAAGATTGAATAAAACCTTGTAACATTAAACCTAGATTAGAGATTTAGAAAAGAAAGTTAAAATTAGTCACTTTGATTTTAGTGTTCCAATTTCATAATATTTGTTCTTCTAAATAGATTTAGAGAGTAGAAAATAAAATTCAGTGCTATACAAAAGCTGTTTTTTTTTTCTTTTTGTATCAGAGAAGAAAGTAGACAACTAAGAGCTATAGTGATTCATAATGAAATATACTAAATCGAATTTTATGATGTCAGTTGTTGGCATTATAATCTATATAACTGATTTAATTGTGGACATTTGGGTATCTGTTAGGTTTTTCCATGAAGGACAATATGTTTTTGGTGTTTTAACAGTAAGTTTTATGCTTGTTGGAACACTTGTGGTCCAGTGTTTTAGTTATTCTTGGTACAAGGCCGATTTAAAGAAAGCAGGCCAAGAAAGTCAGCATCGTTTTCTTCTACTTCACTGCTTGCAAGGAGGAATTTTTACAAGGTGAGCATACACTTTTGATCATTAACACTATTTTTCTTTTATTCGAACAGAAACTGCCTTTCTGTATCTAGGTTGTCAAATGTACAAAGGTCCCCTATTTGCATGTAGCACAAAGGTTACTGGCTCCTTATTATTGCTGTTTGTATGAGTCATTGCTGTACTGTCAGAATTTTCCAGGTTTATTAATGTTTTAGTTTACCTAATTAAGTTACTTTTTCTGACATGTGCTCACTTTTTATGAGAAGGAAAAAGACTAAGTTCTATGTTTTGTGATCTTCTGTTTTATATTCAAACCCCAATAGTGCAAATATGTTTATCACTTGCAACTCTGCTAGAGTACTTAATTTTTAAGTTACTTGTACCATTGATTTAACCAAATGAAAAATTTATTGCAATAATATAGTAGCCATGTGGTAAGCTGGTACAGAATCATGCACAGAACTAGAAACAGCTTTAAGAGTCATGCTCAAAAACTTTAATAGTTAAAGAAACTAATATCTGAATAGGCCTTAAGAATTCCATGATTATCTGTATATCTAATTTCATATGACCTTTTCAATATTACCTTAAGGGATTTAATTCTGTTAAAAGCAATTTTTCTCTTTTCTTTTAAGATATCTGTATATCTTAAAAGAGAAAAATTAAAAGCACATTAAGAGGATAACATACTATTTTATTACATTTAATTTTGGAATTCGGACCATTTTAATAGCTTACATAAAGGTTAATTTCTGATTCTGTCCTGTTAAAAAGCAACATATTCATGGCGACTAGTTGAAAATATTAAGAATTTTCAGGCTTTTTATATGTTAATTGATGATAATAATGATAAATGCCATTAAATTTGTGTGGAGATTTATAATTTTCAAAGTATTTTCACATACTTTGTCTTTTTAAAGCTAGAGTTAGAAAGGTTATAACATGTAAGAGAAACAAAATATGCAATGAGAAAAAAGTACAGGTTTTAGGGAAGCTGGAAAGTACTTTAGGTGTAGATATTGGAGGTTAGTTTTGAAACTGTATGTTTTCAATTAGATGAAAATGTTTAAAGGGATGGAGTAAAAGTGCTGATAAGTTTTTAATGTGTAGTAAATAAGATTTAATGAATATTCTGCATGAGCAATAATGAGAATTATGAAGTTATAATATCTAGAGAAGGATAACATTTACCTTGCTGAGAGTTTAGAAATATGGTAAATTCTTTATTAGCCATTCTATAAATGTAAAATTTTCATATCCACAGAACTATTTTCTTTGGTGTTTCAAATAATGGCTTGAAGGTACTGCAGGACATTGTGTTATAAGTTATAAATTGTATTATAAAAGGCAAAATTGCCTTGATTTTCATTGTCTTTTGACATACCTAACAATTTTTATTGAATGTTAGACATTATATGTAAAAATTATAGAGGCTCCAGATAACACTGTTTTCCTTTTCTCTCCTGGACATTTAGAGTGAGGTTCAGTCTACTCTTGGTTTGCTCCCAGGGTACAGCCTTCTAGGGCACTGAGAGCCTGGTGTAGTCATGCTCCCTCCCGCATGTCCTGAATACTACTGGGTCCTTATCTCCTTGGCATCACAAGACTGTCAGAAAAATTCTGCTTTGTTTTTTCAAGACTTTCTGCTTAGAGTTAGCCTTTATCTTATAGTTTCAAAATTGGTTAAATATCCTTGGGGAAAAACTGACTGAGCTTTTGAGGTCCCTGTCTTTAGACCTACAAAATCTTTAAAACCTCTGCTATTTTTTTCTGTTCTAACAATAACCCTCTACCTGAGAAAAGTCCATATTTTCAACATCTTGCCCTTGTACCTCCAGGCAACAAGTATCTGCAGAAACATCAGCTCACTTTCCAGTTTCTTTAGTTGTTTTGGCAGGAGGATTGGTTCCTCCAACATACTACATCCTATATTGAAGCATAGTCCGTAAAGTGCAATCTTGAGTTATCTCATAATGTGCTGTCTTAAATTATCCCAGGTCTAAAGTTGAACAGAACCTTTATTGTTCTCAAAAATAACATAAAGACCTCAAAACACTTGAATTCCATGTACCATATTCCCAACATGTACTGTACATTAATATTGCTGGCATTTTAATTCTTGTGTTTAATCTCACTACCATATTATTGTGTTATTATTTCTGTTTTATATAGTTAAATTTTGTTATACTTACCTATATATTTACTATTCTCTTTATTTTTTATTCCTTCTTGAATCTCAGACTTTCCACTATGGATCACTTTTCTTCTGCCTGCCTGAGGTCCAGAATTGCATCTATTGTGAGTCTGTTGGTGACATCATTTTTCAGTTTTTGGTTGTCTAGAAATGTCAGTATTTCATTAGCTTTCTTGAGAGATATTTTAGTGGCTATAGAATTTGAGATGAGAAGTTAGTTATTTTATCTCTTCGTATAACATTCTCTTGTCTTTTGGTTTTTATTGTTTCTCTTAAAGTGTTAGGTGACAGTCTTTTTTTCCCTCTGGTTGCTCTTATGATTTTTCTCTTTACCTTTGGTTTTCTACAGTTCAATTATGATATAGCTAAGTATAGATTTATTTCTCTTGCTTGAGATTTGCTAGTTCTCATGATTCTTTGAAACTTCTTTCACTTCTGCACAATTCTTAGTCATTACTTTCTAACATTTTCTGTCTCTTTGCCTTCTGGGACTGCAAGCAAATGTAAGTTAGATATTCTCACTATATCTAACAGACTCTTATAACAGAAGCTGTATTTGGTTCTTTTCAAAAGTCTGCTATGTCACCTTTTGTAGTTTCCTGTTCACTGTAGATATTTCAGACTTCCCATTTATATCTTGAAACCTAGCATAGCTGTTTCATTTACAATTTCAATATCTGAAGCTTTTACAAGTTTGTTACTACTGGCTCTGCTTCTACTATTGGGTACTCATATTGCTTTTTTTCTTGCATGCCTAGGCTAGTATCCATGATTATGTTCTGGTCATTGCCCCTGAAAAAATTGTGAGGACTTCACCAAGTCCTCTCTAGAGACTTTGATTTTATTCTTAGGAGATGTCTATAGTTTCTGTAAAATGTGGTCTACACTTAAATTCATGTCTGGAGGTGCTTCCTGATTCAGTCTTTTTAAAAAATAAAGATTTTTTTTATTGATTTCAGAGAGGGAAAAGGAGAGAGAGATAGAAATATCAATGATGAGAGAGAATCATTGACCAGCTGCCTCCTGCACGCCCCACAGTTGGAATTGAGCCTGCAGTCCAGGCATATGCACTGACTGGGAATCGAACCATGACCTTCTGGTTCATAGGTTGATGCTCAACCAGTGATCCTGATTCAGTCTTGAAAGGTTGTATCTTTCTAGAAATTTGTGCATTTCTTCTAGGCTGTTCAATTTGTTGGCATATAATGATTCTTTATATTTCTACTAGAGGCCCGGTGCACGAAATTTGTGCACAGGGGAGGATTATCCCTCAGCCCGGCCTGCACCCTCTCCAATCTGGGACCCCTTGGGGGATGTCCAACTGCCGGTGTAGTCACGATCCTTGTGGGCCTAAACTGGCAATCGGACATCCTTCTCACAATCCGGGACCTCTGGCTCCTAACCACTCGCCTGTTTGCCTGCCTGATTGCCCCTAACCACTTCTGCCTGCCAGCCTGATCGCCCCCTAACCGCTCCTCTGCTGGCCTGATTGACACCTAACTGCTCCCCTGCCGGCCTGATCGCCTCCAACTGTCCTCCCCTGCTGGCCTGGCCACCCCCAACTACCCTCCCCTACTGGCCTGATCTCGCCCCCAACTGCCCTCCCCTGCCACCTTGATGGCCCCCAACTGCTCTCCCCTGCTGGCCTGATTGCCACAACTGTCCTCCCCTGCTGGCCTGTTCACCCTCAATTGTCCTCCCCTGCTGGTCATCTAGTGGCAGCCATCTTGTGATGACATGAGGGCGGCCATCTGTGGTGGCCATCCTGTGATGATGTCATGCATGACGCCACCTAGGCTTTTATTATATAGGATGTTATCAGTTGTAACTTCTCTTTCACTTTATTTTTAAATTTTTAATTTTTTTTGGTTAATACTCACTGGAGGATATTTTTCCCATTGATTTTAGAGATAGTGGAAGGGAGGAGGGAGAGGGAGAGGGAGAGGGAGAGGGAGAGGGAGAGAGAGAGAGAGAGGAGAGAGAGAGAGAGAGAGAGAGAGAGAGAGAGAGAAAGAGAAAGAGAGAGAAATACCTAGGCAAGAGAGCCACATTAATTGGTTGCCTCCCAAACAAGCCACAACTGGGGCAGGGAACTTGCAACCCAGATAGGCCTGTATAGCTATGAACTTCCCTCTTAAAACTGCTTTTGCTGCATCCCATAGATTTTAGAAAGTTGTATTTTCATTTTAATTTGTCTCCAGGTATTTTTTGATTTCCTGTTTGATCAATTGGTTGTTTAATAGCATGTTGTTTATCTTCACATGTTTCTGATTTTTCCAGTTTTCTTCTTGTAGTTGATTTCTAGTTTGATAATATGGTTGAAAAATGCTTGATATGATTTCAGTCTTCTTGAATTTATTGAGACTTCTTTTGTGGTCTAATATGTGATCAGTCTTAGAGAATGTTCTATGTGCACTTGAAAAGAATGTGTATCCTGCAGTTTTTGGATGAAATATTCTATACATAATCTATTGAGTCAGTTTGGCCTAATGTGACATTTAAGGTCTTTGTTTCCTTATTGATTTTTTGTCTCATGATATATCCATTGACCTAAGTTAGGTATTAAAGTCCCTTACTATTATTGTAATATTGCCTGTGAATTTTTGCTTTATATGTTTAGGGGCTCCTATGTTGGGTGTGGGGTGGCCCAGTGTGCACATGTGTGTGGAAGTTCCCTGTTAATTTGGTTGTCTGTGACTGGAGCAGAGCCTGGGTTGGGCAGTCTAGTGCACATGTGCTGTGGCTCAGTTGGTAGAATTGTTGTCTTATACACCAAAAGTTGGTGGGTTAGATTCCCAGTCAGGGCACATACCCAGGTTGTGGGTTTGATACCTGGTTCTGGGCCTGTAAGGAGGCAACTGATGGATGTTTCTCACATCAATGTTCTCTCTCTCTCTCTCTCTCTCTCTCTCTCTCTCTCTCTCTCTCTCTTTCTCCCTCCCTCCCTTCCTCTCTCTAAAATAAATTTTTAATAAAAGATAAATTGTATGAATTGAAAATTGCAGTTTGTCTTTCAGAAAGTAGTGGTTAAGACTAGGAATCATAAGATCTCAGTTTGGACTCTGGGTCTGACCCTTATTCTCTGTGTAATTGTCAGTGAATCACCTTACTGTTTTTCAGCCTTAGTTTCCCCATCTGTAAAATGGGAATAATACCTACTCATCTCAATTATTGTGAGGATGAAATGAGTAATGTATATTTAACAGTGCTAGCACAAAATGGCACATCAAACATGAAATAAAAAGTTATAGGGTTTGAATCTCAAAAAAGCCACCATAAGAAATTTGTAGTAGAGAAAGTTTGTGGGGAAAATCTGTACTTAAACATAATGCTACTTTTTTCAAATTATTGTGTATATTAATATACATGTTATAAAGTATATATTACACAAGACAAATGATCATGTTTACTTTACAGGTATTGGTTTGCCTTGAAAAAGGGTTATCATGTGGCTTTCAAATATAGCAGCAAAACTGATAACTTCATAGAAGAACAAATTGATCCACATAAAGAAGTTATAGATGAAGTGACTGATTTAAGCATGCTCAGGCTATTTGAGACCTACCTGGAAGGCTGCCCACAACTTGTTTTTCAGCTCTATACCTGTTTGGAACACGGTCAAGCAAATACCAGTCAGTGTAAGTCTTTCTTAACACCCTTTGTTAGATGGATGCCTCGGAGATCTTATGTTAACTACATAACTTTAGGGCAGGTTTTAGAATTTTTTATTTTTTTCTTTATAGAATTGTTTAAGTTTTAAAAAGAAGGACATGATTTAAATATTTAAAAGTATATAAAGGTATGTTGCCTGCCTCCTTCTTTTTCCCATTCCTTCTTTTGTCTGCCCAGAAAGGAAACTTGGCAGTTTTTCGATGATTCTTTTAGAAAATCATTTAAAAAGCCTATATTAATTATCTCTTTGTCTGTGTCTCTCCCTTTCTCTCTTCCTTCCCCCTCTTTTATATAAATAGTAACTTAAAATAAAAACAGTTTTTGTTTTTTTGCAGTATTTAACAGTATGTCTTGGAGATCTATTCATATCAGTACAGAAAGAGCTCCCTCATTCATTTTTATTATCTGAATGGTATTACAAATTATAGATATACCATGATTTATTTAACAAGCCCCGGTTTATGTTGTTAGGTTGTTTCTAATATTTTACTGTTGCAAAAAATGCTGCTGTAAATAATCTTATGCATGTGTAAAGTATATCCATAGGGTAAATTTCCAGAATTGGAATCATTAGATGAAAGTGCAAATGCTACAAAACTCATGAAAGTTGACTAATATGTTGTTTTATTATAGCATATTTCATTGTTAGGGTAGAATGTTCAATTTTAAAGGACAGCTTGACATTTCCATAAAAAACCCCCATTTAATAGTTGTTTAATTTGAGATGTTAAAAAAAAGTAATGACTAAGGTTTCATGCAGACTTGGATTAATCTCAGAGTACCAGATTGTCATCTTTCCTGGAGTTCCCTCTATGCTAGACTCACCTGTGAGATCAGTTTCTTTCCCTAAGTAGTCTTTCTGTTTCCAATTTCCCATAAATTTCAATGTTGTAGTCCCTTCTAATATTATTATTTTTACCTTGCTTGTTAATAAGACATTAAAATGAACCTATTGTGTATAAGACTTCTTTTTCCTTGTGATGCAAATAATTTGTGGGTTGGGACTTACGTGTTCTGTGCCACATCATTACTGAAACTAGAAGTTGAACATTTGGAGTTTATAGCCTATCATATGGTAGATCTGCTGATGATTCCAAGTAGTACATAGCATCTGGATCACATTGGGATCCAGTGACTATCTTCATATTATGAGGTTCTATCCTCATACTATGAGGTTTTATCCTCATTCTTTAGTTTCTCCTTGAAGTAAGAAAGTGAGGTATTAGCTAAAAATAGCAAAATAAATAAAGACATAAATAAAAGCTAATTGTCTAACAATAGAAGAATTGGTAAAAAAGTTACTGTACAATGTTACTATAAAAACTATTAGCCACAGAAAGTAGTGATAACTTTTAATGACACAGGAAAGTAGTTCTAAAATAAAATTTAGACAAAAACAGTTTATAAAATTTCCTATGAGCATACTTTTAAGGATACAAAGAAATTATTATATTGCACAGTGTCTGGAAGAAAATATGAAAAATGTTAATGTGGCTGGCTGCTTATGGGTAGTGAGATTATGAATGAATTTATTTAATCTTCTTTACACTTTTCTCTGAATTTCCAAAATTCTACAGTAACCATGTATTGTTTTGAGAATCAGGAAGAATAACTCAGAATGTTAAAAAAAAATCAGGTTACTTATAGAAGTATTTCAGAAGGCTGAACATATTCTTTTATTTTTGCTTCTTCCTGAACCACACTAATAAGGAGAGTAAAGGATTAAAAATAATATAAACCCACAAGAACAAATAGAATGCAGAGTGGAATAGCAGATTAGAAATATCAACAAGTGTTTAGAAGATGGAAAGCAGATGAAAAACTTAGGTTATGTAAATCAGCTCTACCACTAAAGGCTAAATTATTTGAATCTATTCTCCCTCTGAAAATATCTAAGACTACTGGATAGCTTGGCTGGTGGCTCAGTGGTTGAACATAGACCTATGAACCAGGAGGTCACAGTTCGATTTCCGGTTAGGGCACATGCCCAGGTTGTGGGCTCAATCCCCAGTGTGGGGCATGTAGGAGGCAGCTGATCACTGCTTCTTTGTCACCATTGATGTTTCTATCTTTGTCTCTCTCTGAAATAAATAAAAATATATACAGACTAGAGGCCCGGTGCACAGATTCATGCACTGGTGGGGTCCCTCGGCCTGGCCTGTGGGGATCGGGCCAATACTGGCTCTCCGACATCCCCCGAGGGGTCCCGGATTGCGAGAGGGCTCAGGCTAGGCGAGGGACCGCACAGATGCACGATAGGAGCCGGGGAGGGACCACAGGAGGGCTCCAGGGTGTGTCCGGCCATCTCGCCCAGTCCTGATTGGCCAGACCCCAGCAGCAAGCTATCCTATTGGTTGGAGCGTCTGCCCCCTGGTGGTCAGTGTGCATCATAGTGACTGGTTGAATGGTCAGGAGAATGGTTGGACACTTAGCATATTAGACTTTTATTATATACGATGGGAAATTGAGCTTGTTGACATTCAACTCATACTTACGTTAAATTTTCTTTCCTTCCTCCCGCCCTCCTTCCTCCTTCTTCCTTCCTTCCTTCCTTCCTTCCTTCCTTCCTTCCTTCCTTCCCACTTTCCTCTCTCGCATGGTGCTGTCTCTTAGTGAATTAGATATATGCCCAGGGTCAAAGCCAAAGACTGGAATAGCTAGGTTTATAACAGTAATGTCTTAGAGAATTTCCAGAGTATAGTATGTAGTTTTCACTATACCAGTTGTACCGCTCAGAATCTTGTAAAGCAGTCTAATGCAGTGGTTAAGTATACCATCTTTGGAATTGGGTAGCTTTAGATTCAAATCTTAACTGCAGCTTGCTAGCTGTATGACTTGGGTCAAATAATATATATTTTGTAAGCATTAATCCTTCATATGTAATATGGGAATAGTAATATCTATCTTGAAGGATTAGGTGAGATGAGTATATAAAGTACCTGGCATGTCTGTGGGTATGTGTAAATACAGATAAAGCATGTATGGCATATGGTAATTTAATATTGTAATTTTTATTCCTGTAACAATATACCTTTTAAAATTTGTTTTTTTTTTTTGTAGATGCAGCCCTCATGGTCTCTTGCTGTGCTATTTCTTGGTCAACTGTTGATTATCAAATATCTTTAAGAAAATCCTTACCTGATAAAAATGTCCTTACTGGGCCCTGTCCCAAACTCACATATCTCTTTTACAAGTTTTTTACATTATTATCTTGGATGCTGAGTGTTGTACTTCTTTTATTCTTAAATGTTAATATTGCTTTATATCTGTTGTCATTTCTTTGGTTTTTAGGTATATTGTGGGCATTTAAAAACCAAACTAAGTTTTGTGCTTCCATAAGTATGGAGTTCTTATACAGGATTGTTGTTGGATTTGTTCTTATTTTTACATTTTTTAATATTCAGGGGCAGAATACCAAATGTCCAATGTCTTGTTATTATATTGTAAGGGTACTGGCCACACTGGGGATATTGATTGTGTTGTGGGTTTGCCCACTTTCTATTTTTAATTCAGACTATTTTATACCTATTAGTATTATTATAGCTCTTGCTCTTATCCTTGGAATTATTTTTCTTATTGTTTATTATGGGACTTTGCACCCCAACAAAAGTAAAGAAAGAAAACCTGATGAAATTGATGGGAAACCAGTGCAAATAGAATGTAGAATGAAGTATTTCCTAATGGAATAAGCTATCCTTTATAAGACATATTTTCTTATTTTTTGTTTCATTGTTTAGTAAAGAAAATGTTGTGTGTCTATGTGTGTGTTATTTCTTAGTTTTGCTATCTTTAATTTGAGATCAGTTCTGGTACATTATTTATGAATGTGAGAGTGAGTATATTAATATTTTTATTATTTAAATTAATTTTTCATTTGTTTTTGAAGACCTTAAGAGCTTAGATATATTTGCTTGTTGTCAGGCAGAGTAGCCATTTTGAGCTTGAATTGGAAGAAATGGTCTGGTTCCATTAACTTGAAGGCTGGAATTGAGCTTCTCTCCAACTTTCTCCTCATTTTTCCTGAACTAAAACTGATGCACCTGTTGTGGAGAACTGCAAAAGGAAGAAGAGAGCAGAACACTTGTTCTTCTCACCTGCATTTTCTTGATTTAGTGCATATATTGAGTTGGGGACAGATTGAGCTGAGAAAAAGGAAAAGGAAGGGAAGAGGAAGAAACAAGACATAAAATTTACCATCTTAACCATTTTCCTTGTACATCTCTGTAACTTTTTTATCTTGCAAAATAGACTCTGTTCCTACTGAACAACTACTTCCCATTTCCCCCTCTTTTCAGCCCCTGGTAATTGCAATTCTATTTTGTTTTGATGTATTTAACTACTTTAGATACCGCATGTAAGTGGAATTATACATTCTTTATATTTTTGTGACTGGTTTATTTCACTTAGCATAATGTCCTCAGATTCATTTATATTGTAGCATGTGTGACAGCATTATATATATATATATTTCTTTCTTTCTTTGTTTCTTTGTTTCTTTCTTTGTTTCTTTGTTTTTCTTTCTTTCTTTCTTTCTTTCTTTCTTTCTTTCTTTCTTTCTTTCTTCCTTCCTTCCTTCCTTCCTTCCTTCCTTCCTTCCAGAGAGGAAGAGAGAGGGAGAGAGAGATAGAAACATCAATGATGAGAGAGAATCATGGATCAGCTGCCTCTTGCACATACCCTACTGGGGATTGAGCCTGCAACCTGGGTATGTGCCCTGACCAGGAATTGAACCATGAACTCCTGGTCCACTGAGCAACACTTCTGGGCAGGAATTTGTTTTCTAAGGCTGAATAATGTTATATTCTATGTATATGCCACATTTTCTCTACTTATCCATCACTGGGTTGCTTTTACCTCTTGGCTATCATGAATAATGCTATAATGAATATTGGAAGTAGCAATTTATGTAATGGAAAAAATGGTTATAAAACAATATATATCTACTAATGAACTTGAATATTAAATGCCCCACACAAACATGGATTGAATGGTCATTTCATCAACAAACATTTTCCCATTGATTTTATAGCCAAGAAACAAATGGATAGATCCTGGTCAGATGTTTTGGCTAGTTAGCAAGTTCTTAAAGTGAACATTTAATATCTAATGGATTTACTTTTATTTATTTTATTCTACTTTTTTCTATATCATTCAGTCATAGATATACAGCACTTTTAAATCTTCCCAACTAATTATACACTTTTCTAGATTATTCTGTACATATCAAATGTAGGAAAAGCTTGGGAATAATTATGAGCAATCCTATCTAATAAAAGAGAAACATGGTAATTGGCGTACGACCGCTACCCTTTCCATTGGCTAATCAGGGCGATATGCAAATTAACTGCCAGCCAAGATGGCGGTTAACCGCCAACAAAGATGGTGGCTAATTTGCATACTCGCAATGATGGAAGGCGAAAGGGGAAGGATGGAGGGCAGTGATCAGAAACCCAGGCGCAGGCAAGAGCCAGGGAGCAGGGCAAAGGTCGGTCCTGGAGGCCACCTTTGCCCTGCCACCAGTGGGTGATTGGAGAAGCCTGGGGGGTGGGGCAGGGAAGTGGACACAGACAGCGATGCAGAAGCCGGATAGCCGGATGCAGGGGCAGGGAAGCAGCCTCCGCCAGCGCCCTGCCCACGGCTTCCCTACCCCGAACCTGGCTTCTTTGATCAGTGACCGCAGAAGCCGGGTGCGGGTCAGGGAAGCGTCCGCCGCCGCCAGCGTTCCCAGCCGCGGCTTCCCTGCCCCACACCCGATCCGTGACCGCCGAAGCCCAGTGCAGGGGCGATCACAGAAGCCAGGTGCGTGGGCAGGGAAGCAGCCTCCACCAGCGCCCGGCCACGGCTTCCCTGCCCCTCACCCAGCTTCTGCAATGGGTGACTACAGAAGCCCAGTGCAGGGTTGATCACAGAAGCCAGGTGCTGGGCAGGGAAGCAGCCTCAGCCAGCTTCCCCAGCTGCTGCTTCCCTGCCCCACACCTGGCTTCTGTAATTGGTGATGCCTATTTTTGCATGACACTTAACTGACTACCCTCCCTGGAAGCACAGAAGAAGAAGCCCCCACCTTTGGTCCTGGCGCCAGCACCTGGGGCTGGCTGCAGCCCAGGAGATGGACAAGCTACTGGCCAGAGGTCCCAGGCTGCAGCCACCCGGAGAAGCTACCAGCCCTGTGGTCCAGGGTGCCAGCGCCTGTGGCCAGGGAAACAGTTTCCCTCTTCTCCTACTGTAGTCATTACTTCAATATTCCCCTTCTGAATTTCTCTCCTGTGCTGCAACCCAACTCCACTTTTCATCAGAAGGATACGGAACAGAGAGAGCAGTGTTAAAAGCTTACATTTTTAAGCCGGTAAGGTTGGTACTTAAACATATAAATGGAAAACTAGAGTCCTTAAGGTAACAAAGGCTACAAAGGACAGGGACAGCGCATGACCTATTATATCCAGCAATCCATATGGGGACTGAAAACTTTGCAATGATGACAATTACTGAAGATATGAATCAACTAAAATAGTTGACAGGGACAATTCTTCCATCTTTGAAAATATCTACATCAAATCTGTTTAAATAGATTTTCATCTGCATAATATAACTCATTCTGACAAGACCATCACCACCACCAATGTGGTCAGTGTTTTGCCGTAAAATGTTTAATAACTGAGGGACCCCCCCCCCTCGAGTGCACAAATTTTGTGCACCGGGTTACTAGTACTCTCATAAAAGAACAGTCATATGCATTGTACTACTCAGGGTTCTCCAGAGAAACAGAACCAATAGGATATATAGATATAGATATGGATATAGATGATATAGATACAGATATAGATATAGATATAGATATAGATATAGATATAGATGAGGATAGTTATTATAGGAACTCAGGTGGTTGTGAAGGCCACGATTTCTGTCTGCAAGTTGGAGAACCATGAAAACCCGTGATGTAATTGAGTCCAAGTCTGAAGGCCTAGGAATCGTGGGGCTAATGGTGTATGTCCTCATCTGAGTCCAAAAGCCTGGGAACCAGGAGCACCCATGTCGGAGGGAAGGGGAAGATGGATATCTTAGCTCAGACAGACAGAGTGATTTTGCTCTTCCGGTGCTTTTTGGGTTCTTTTTAGACCCTCAACAGATTGATGATACCACCCATAATGGGGACAGCATTCGCTTCACTCACTTCAAATGCTAATTTGAGGAAAAAATACCCTCTCACACACAGAAATACTGTTTTACCAGCTATTTGAGCATCCCTTAGCCCAATCAAGTTAACATATAAAATTCACATTCCCATACACCCATATACTTTCATATCGACTTGAAATATGAATAGAAGACTTCCCTTACACTAGTGGTTCTTAAACATTAGTGTACATGAGAATAATCTGGAGGATCTATTAGATTTCCATTCACAATTTTTTTAAGTAGATCTTAGGTGGAGCATGAAATTTGTATGTCTAAGACGTTCCTGGATGTTGTTGGTGCTGCTGGTCTGCCCTTCTACTTTGAGGACCACTTCTGACTTTTGAAGGCTAATACGACTTTTAATAACTAGTTTCAAAATAGCCACTAGAGGGCAATGAAGGCACAGACAAATTGGATGTGCTGTTTAATAGGTTCCCTTAATAGGTTTATGCTACCGTCACTACAAGCCAGGAGAATACCAAAGCCAAACGTTAATTTCCTGTAGAATATCTTCAGGCTCATTCTCAATTGTAATAGAAATCAAAGCTTGTCTTTATAGTTGTGGGAATCAGAGATGTATAATGAACTGTAACTCTGGCCGATGCCCATTTCATGATCACAACATATTAAAAGTTGGGTTTTTCTAAGTGGGAAGAGACTACATTTTGCTAATAGGTTCAGTTTGTTATGGAGAAAATTCTGCATTTAAGCTGTATTTATTAGTTTTAAGACATGCACGTCTTACTTTGTGAAAGTGAGACCAAAGTACTTTTAAAAAATACTAAACTTAGTATGTATTAAACCTCAATTCTTAGAACATAAAGATCAACAGGGTATAGGGGATTTATAATTTCTTTCTACTAGAAATATTGCTTTGATGGTAGAAAATGACTGGAGAAAAAATAAAAATATATAGTTTTTAGGGATGTTGTTATATTTCCGTTTTGCCTAACCTGGAACTTGAAAGCTTTACTGCTACAGTAATTGCTCTTTAAAATTTTTCTTTTGATACCTAGTGTATAGACATATACACCTTTCTGAGGAGTCCTAGTTCTTGGCTGGAATCAGCAATTGCTTTTCACGGTATTGTAGAAAATTATTTTTCTCTTTATTTTATTTTACTAGAGGCCCGGTGCACAAAAATTTGTGCACTCGGGGGGGGGGGAGGAGGGGGTCCCTCAGCCCGGCCTGTGCCCTCTCACAGTCTGGGACCCCTCGGGAGATAACGACCTGCTGGCTTAGGCCTGCTCCCGGGTGGCAGAGGGCAGGCCCAATCCCTAGGTGCAGCCCCTGGTCGGGCTCAGAGCAGGGTCGATTGGGGAGTTGGGGCACCTTCCCCTGTCATGCACAGAGCAGGGCAGATTGGGAGGTTGCGATGCCACCCTCAGTTACGCTCAGGGTAGGGCCGATTGGGGGGTTGGGGCACCGCCCCCTGTCACACTCAAGGCAGGGTCGATGGGGAGGTTGCGGCGCCACCACCTGTCACGCACAGAGCAGGGCCCATCAGGGGGGTTGGGGCTCCATACCCTGTCATGCACAGAGCAGGGCCAATCAGGGGTTTGGGGCGCTGCCCCCTGTCACGCACAGAGCAGGGTCAATCAGGTGGTTGGGGAGCTCCCCCCGTCATGCACAGAGCAGGGCCGATCAGGGGGTTGAGGAGCTCCTCTCCATCACTCACACAGTAGGGCCGATAGGGGAGTTGGGGCACCGCCCCCTGTCACACTCAGGGCAGGGCTGATCAGGGGGTTGGGGCGCCGCCACTGTCACACTCAGGGCAGGGCTGATCAGGGGGTTGGGGCGCCTTCCCCTGTCACACACAGAGCCGCAGGGCGATCAGGGGGTTTGGGCGCTGCCCCCTGTCAAGCTGATCCTGGTGCTGGGAGGCATATTACCCTTTTACTATATAGGATAGAGGCCTGGTGCATGGGTGGGGCTGGCTGGTTTGCCCTGAAGGGTGTCCTGGATCAGGGTGGGGGTCCCCACTGGGGTGCCTGGCCAGCCTGGGTGAGGGGATGATGGCTGTTTGCAGCTGGTCACACACCCTTCAGGGTGGGGGTCCCCACTGGGGTGCCTGGCCAGCCTGGGTGAGGGGATGATGGCTGTTTGCAGCTGGTCACACACCCTTCAGGGTGGGAGTCCCCACTGGGGTGCCTGGCCAGTCTGGGTGAGGGGC